TAAAGCCTCTGTACAGGAGGGCATGACCCTGGGTGCCTCACAAACTGTTACCAGTGAAGGGAAGACCCATGGTTTTTCTAAGGGCAAACCAGGCCTGTCTCATCCACCTGTCAGAAGACAGTCTTTCAGCAAGTATTTACAGTCCCCAACTTACAATGATTTGACAGGATTTTTCAACTTCATGATGGTGCGAAAGCAATAGGCATTCAGTAAAAACAGTACTTTGAATTCTGAATTTGGATCTTTTCCATGGCTAGTGGTAAGTGATCTGATCCTCACTCGTGAGGCTGGGCAGCAGCAGCTCCCAGTCAGCCACACGGTCACCAGGGTGAATGACTGGTCCACTCACAACCGTTTAGTACCAGCCAGCCATTCTGTTTTTCACTTTCAGTATAGTATTCAGTACATTCCATGAGAGACTCAACATTTTATTATTAAATAGGCTTTGTGTTAGATGCTTTTGCCCAGTTGTAGGCTACTGTAAGTGTTCTGAGCATAGTTAAGGTGGGCCCAGCTGAGCTGTGATGTCAGTAGGTTAGGTGAATTCAATGCACTTTCAACTTATGATATTTTCAATTTATGGTGGTTTTATCAAAATGTACCCCACTGTAACTTGAGGGATATATGTACTCATGCATGGGGCCTGCCAGGCCTTGGGCAATGAGGTGGAAGACTTCCCTATCTCCTGGAGCTCATGTGGTGACCAACTACAATACACATGCAATAGACAGGCTGGTGGGCAAAGGGACTGCAAGGGGCCAGTTTGTTATGCAAGGGAAGGAGTTCAAAGAAAGTGCTACAAGAATACACTGGTGCTGATACTCTGGGAAAGGGGTGGGCGTCCATGGGTATCCTTCTCTAAGATGGGAGTCAAATTGGCAATCCCACAGGCATCCATCTGGTTATTAGCCCAGAAGGGGTATTTTTTGGTGGGGGGAGGGGTGGCCACTGTTTCCACATTTTACCCATGTGTTTTTTCAAAAATCCCAAGTGATATTACCAATTCTTGAAAAGTTCCCTCCACGTTTCTTGGTCAAATCTGTCAAAATGGAGAAAGGGATAGGATTACCCCAAGTACTACTTTCTTTCCTACCTTGGGCTTTGTTAGGCTGCTTTTGGTGATTCCAGGAAGAAGAGAAGTTCTGGTGACTGGGATGATGTGGTTGCTTCCAAAGCCACAGCTACATGCTCTTGTCCACCACTTGCACTCCAGCATTTGTTTGGGGCTGGGAAATTCCAGAGGGGAATGTCCTGCATTCCCTGTGGTCCAGCTAAAACCTGCTTTCCAAGCCCAAGCCCTATAGCCTCATTGTGGAAGTGGGCTACAGGAGGTGTACTCCTGTTCATCTGTGCTTAATAGTCAGGAATTCGGCGAGAGGCTTTCCTCACCTTTCCATTTGCTCCATGGGAACACAAGTGTTCTTGACTGTTTTCGTATGGGAGTTGGGGTGAGGACAGGAAAGGGGATGGGCTGGAATGTAGGTTAAAAGCAGGCTGGACAGGGCCTCTCTAAATTTAAATTTCATTCACCAAACAATGGGGAGTTGTCTATGTCCTTTCAACAGGGCAGAGACATCAACAGTCTATGCTTTAGAGAATAACTGCTACCATTGAGGAGGATGGATTGAAAGGCAGGGGACCTGGTGGCCTGACCTAGGGTAGAGCAGTGAAATGGAGAGACAGCAGATCCAGAGAAATTCGGGAAGTAGAAGCTGCAGAATTTGCTTAGAAATTTGAGTATGGAAGAGGAGTAAGGCAGCATATAACTTGGTAGCTCCACTGAATGGAAATGCCCATCTTCAGGATAGAGAATTCTGGCAAAGGGGGATGAAGAGATGATGGGTTTCAGGCTTGTCATGCTGAAGGTGAGGTGGCTTGTGGGGCAGCCTGCCAAGTGGCAGCTACACATTTCAGTCCGGAGCTCAAGACAGGGAGCATGGGCAGGAATTGGTCATCAACACCCACTCCACCTGATAGCAGATGCAATGATAATAATATCAATAACAATACTAGCAGTTATTGAACTGCTAGGTGATGTGCCAGGCATTATTCTGGCACTTCACATGTGTGGATTTGTTTCATTCTCCCCAGTGTTTTGAGGTAGGCACTGTAGTGAGTGTCAAATACAGATGAGGAAGCAGGGTCAGAGAGAGTTAGAACTGACTTAAAGTCATGCAGCATGAAACTGGGACAGTCAGGGGTTGGCATGGCATCCCCTCCCATTATTCCTTTCTGAGAACATCTCGGAACTGTGGGCTTTAAGGAAAAGTTAAGAGGATTGTGCCCTGGAGAAGCCCCTGGGACAGGCAGCGTTGAAATTATGAAGGAGTTGCAGGAAAACCAAGAGGGTAGGAAGCCATATAGGAGGGAGTTATTTCAAGGAGATGTTAATAGCTTCTGCAAGGGGCCAGAGTGGGATAGGGAGGAAGCCTGTGGGCTAAAATGACTGTGAGTTAACTGGTGCCTCCCATTGAGAGCTGACCCTGGAATGATAGGTAAGAAAACAGGACTGCAGGAGACTGAGGATTGAACTGGGATTGAGGAAGCAGAGAGTATACATGCTTTCTAGTTAGAGGAGCTCTACTGATGAATGGGCAAGTGAGAGCTAGAGCAATGGCCTGAGGGCAAGCGGGGTGTAGGTTAGGGTTTATTAGAAGGTGGCATTGTGATGTGTTTGTAGGTATGAAGCAGAGAGGAGGAGAAAGAACTGATAGTGTCCTGAAGCAGACGGGAAGGGTGGACTTGAAAGCAAAAGGGATAGCTCATCCTGTGAGGAGCAGAGACAACTGGGGCTGGAAGCAAGGCAGAAGCTAGGGGAATGGTGGGGGTTGTGGGGGAGGTGGGAAGGTGGCAGGGAGGAGGAATGAACAGGACCTGGTAACCAATAGAGTGCAAGGGAACGGACACCTCGGACTGAGATATCCAGCTGCCCCGCCAGAGGATGGGGAGGTGGCTTGGAGAAGGAAGGGCTCTGAGTTTACTTTTAGCCTCTTTGCATGTGAGGTGCCTGAGGGGCCTGCAGATGGAAAGCCTCTGCAGGCAGCTGGATGGGAGGGGCTCTGCTTGGGAGGGAGGTCTGGCCTGGGAGCCAGGGGACCTTTCAGCTCAGAGGCAGTGGTAGTTGTGGGGGAGGTTACCCAGTGCGGGTGTGAGAGGCAGAGTAGGGGTCTGAGCAAAAGCTTCCAGGAAGACAGCTCTGAAAGGAAGAGTATGCTAGCAATGCCCAAGAAGTGTCCTTCAGGGAAGAGTGTCCATTACAGTGACTGGTTTCCTTGGATGACTATATTAATAATATATTAAAAGATTTTATGAGCACTCAGAGGTGAGTGCAAACAGTGAGATCTCCAACTCTGCAGATACATTTTCATGGCTCAGAAGTGCCAAGGTAGCAGAGAGGAACGAACTGCAGAGGGATCTTGCAAGTAAGCAGAAAAGTGGCTGATGAACTGCACTGTGGGCAAGCAAAGAGTAACACACATGATACCATAATCTAGATGGCTGGCAAGGAGGGTAACTCCTGAGATCTGTTACAACTCCAGGACAGGAGCCAGGAGTCAGCATGGCAACATGAATCAGTCCCTTACATTAAGGATGTTTATCCAGGGGTCAAGGACAGCTCTCCCCACAAATTGAATCTACCACCAAGCAAAGGAGTGTGGGAGAGGGGGACAGGAGAGAGGAGATCCTCGGAGAGGTCTGGGAACCCTGTCCTGGGGGCTCCAATCAACAATCTGACCTAATGTTGGGCCTCCTTGGGGTGGGAAGGGTGTGGTTCTGAGGTTTCTCCTTTTCCCAGGTTCCAAACTTGCGGAAGAAATTTACCATTGACATGCAAATGATGGAAACACACTGGGGCACTTTGGTTTGTGGTTTTTACCATGAGATGTGTCTGTGGCTAAGCACACTGATTTGCCTCAGCAGAGTTAGGGGACTGTAAGCCCTCAGAGGAGGAAGGCAGGGAGGCTATTCCCTGGGGTCAGATCCCAGATGGGCCAGTGGGTCTCTAAGGCAGACTTGTCAGGAAGAGGGTACAGACCCTGCTCACACGGTCTGGGAGCAGAGCTGGACCTGAGCTGGACCTGCCTTCTGGCCTTCACCCACCTCAGATCCCTACGGTAGCTCCTCTGAAAGCAGGGGGCTGGGGAGGAGGGTGTCACCTGACCCACCCTACCCACCCCGAACTGGAGCTAGAAACTGGAGCTAGAAACCAAACCACGTGGAAAAGAGTAGCCAGTGTTTATTTCCCATTTACCGAACAAGTTCTGTAGAAAATTTCAGGGCCCAGAAGCCCCTGAAGTGACCCGGAATGCTGTGAAGGGGATGGGGGGATGGCAAGTGGTAACTGATGGTGTGAATGGGTAACATCTTTGATTTCCTGACTCCCTGCCCCTCATCTCCTCTGACCTCAACGTTCGTTTCCTTTCCAGAACCCTAACTCCCAGGGGGCCGCCCCTAGCCCACAACTCAGCTGCTCCACGCCCAGCCGTGCGTCCACGTGTGGGACCCGCTCCGGGCAGCTCTGCTCCTCGGTTCCCCAACCCGGGTCTCGGGCCTCCCCGCTCCACCCTCTCCGGGGTGCGCCTTCCCCGTGTCGCTCCCGAGCAGGGAGGGGCAGGACACCCCGCACCCCGCTCTGCTCGGGAGACCGAGGCTCCTCGTCCGTGTCCTCCTGCCCCACCAGCCCGGAGTCACTGCGGCTGGTGCGGGGGAGACCCGCGGGAATTTCCCCAATCTTCAACCGGCGCGCCCAGCCCCGGCAACTGCGCTGCTTTTGGACCGCATTTAGGGCTTCCCTCTCCTCTAGAAAGAGGTCGGGCATCAGAGAGGGTCTGGGGGCGCCGCAGCCTGGCCCCCGCTCCGCCCGCAGCCCCGCTCCTCCCCGCGCGGCCCCACTTGTGGCCCCGCCGGCAGCCGCGCAGGGACAGCTGCATTTCTCGCCGCCCGCCGCTAGGAAGCTGCCCTCGCCTCGCATTCTCCGCCTCCCGCGCCCCAGTCGCGCCGCCGCGCCGGGCCTGCCGCCGCCGCCGCGGGATCGCGGCCCCTCCCCCCAGCCCGCCGGCCCCACCGGCCCACGGGGAGCGGTAGCGCGTGGCGGCTGCTCGGTAAGACCCTCCCTGCGCTCCCGCCCGCGCCCGCGCGGACCCCGCCGGCCGCCCCGCGCGCAACCCCGGCTCCAGCGCGGCCCGGCGGCCCCACCTTCTCGGGCACCGAGCGCTGAGGCGCCGCCGGGAGGGCCGGGCCGGCGCGAGTTTGATTCCCGGTGCTGCCGCCGAGGCTTCCCGGGAGCCCGCGCCGCCCCAACCGCGTGCAGCGTCCCGGCCCTCGCTTCCTTCCCGAGCCTCCACCCGACCCCAGGCCGCAGGCGTGCGGGGCGTGCGGGCATCTAGGGGTTGGGAGCCGGGCGCGGGATAGCGGGGTGGTCGCAGGCGGGCGGGGCGGGGAAGGGAAGCGAGGCCTCCCTGAGCCGGCGCCGCCCTGAGACCCTTCTGCAACCGCTCCCCCTTTTGTGTGGGCGCCCCTCGCCACTGTGCCCCGGCCCGGGGGCGCTGGCGGGTTGGCGATGGCTGGCGGGGGGCGCCTGCTCGGGGCAGAGATCCTTTTAGGCGGAGTGGAGGTTCGCTTCGTGCCCCCGCCGATGTCACAAGTCGGCCCAGCCTTTGCTGGTCCCACCCCGTCCCCTGGGAGCTGCATCTCCGGGCGCTCGGCTTGGGAAAGTTCAGAATGCACTGTCCCCGCCCCTGCTCCCCCGCCCCTCCGGCTCCATGGGCCCCGGGCTCTGAACCCCAGGGGGTTGATGATGTTTGCGTTAATTCATTCTTTCTTCTTCCATTTTCTCGGTGCATTGTTGCCTTACACCCAGCACTGGCTTGCCCATTTATTTACCTTAAAAAGAAGTTTTAGCTCCTAGACTTTATACTGAAATTAAATTCCTGGAGAGGAATTTGTTTTGGGGGGAGGGAGAATTTAGATTTTTCTGCCTCTTTCTTTCTTTCTTTATTATTATTTTTTTGGTGAGAGTGGAAGGTGAGGGGGAATGACTGGGAGTTGAGAAATAAGATGTGATACAGGATAAAAGAAGACCATCTCACCTCTACACATGACCCAGCATGGGGAATAAAAGCCTTCCTGTTGGTTATCCAGCAGCACCCTGAGCCACCTGGCCCTGTAGGAAAGACTCGGAGAGATGTTCTGGGCCTCTCACTCCTTGTCTTTGCCAAGCATGCTATCTTCACAGCCTGGGTGGCAGTTAGCCAGGTGTGCCTCAGGGAGGTGAGGGGCACTGGGAATCCTCTCATGAAGGAAGTATCTCCCCATGAAATTTGGCCCTTGTGGGAGCAAGTGTGAAATTTGGCCAACTCTGTTGCTGGGCATGATGCCATTGGGACCTCAGTTTGAATGGAGAGGTGCATCTCTGGGATGGAGAGAGAAACATGGCTCAGGTCACCAGGAAGCTGGAGGGTGTGTGCAGGAGTGTTGGGTTAGAAATCCCTCTGTCCACTGTCTGCAGCTGGAAGGAGCAGGAGATAAGGGAAAAGGAGTGGTGCCTCAGGCCTGGGCCCATCTGTGAATAGGAGATACTTTGGACCACCAGGATTGCCTTGGGACGATAGTAGACGAGGGAGGAACTTCAGGCCAAAGGTTGGTCCCTTTGAGAATCTGGTGAAAGCTCTAAGTTCTCCCTCCCCTGGAAACACGCACATGTGTACAGGGACACATTTACAGTATCAGAGGGTTATTATACCCCTTGGACCTGGGACCCTGAGTAAGTCCCATGATCTAGAATCTGTGGTCTGGCCTTGGCCATTCAGAATAGTTCTTTCCTGTGTGACTGATTAATGACATCCCAGGGTGTGAAGAGCAGACCTCTCCAGAGGTCTTTTCTGATGACCCTCTGGTGCAACTTTGGGCTTGTGGCCATGGAGACCTGGGAGCTCTGGACCAGATCCCAGCTCTCTACAGAGAGCCAGAGGATGGGGGCAGAGAGAGTGGCCCTTCTCCAGGGACTGATTTTGCTGTCTATGTGGTGGTAAGACTCTGGGCACTGGGATGGGGCCACAGAGCTATAAAATTAGAGGTAAATACAGGGATTAAGGTAAGGAATGGATATTCTGGTGTTTCAACTGAGCTTAGGAGCTGGGTGCTTTAAGAGCCTGAGCTCATTCTTGGGGAAATGGGGCTGAAGCGCGAAGTGTAAATGTGAGACACTCCTCTTGAGGAGATCTTGGGGCAGCATTGACCAAGGCCAAGAGCTAGGTGTTGTAGTTTCTGTAGATCACTCTGGACTTTAAAAGGCAAGTGGGGGCCAGATGGAATGGCTGTCACTATACCCAGTGCATCCCTGGGGAGGCCTGGCCTGCCATTTCTTTCTTAGCCAAAGCTCACTGGTCCCTGGGCTGCTGCTCAGGTGTTCGTGGCATGTACACTTGCTGGAGATCTGGAAGGGTTTTCAGGGGCTTCTGCCACCTGTGACTTCTCTGTCTAGGTATTGCTAAGCCCTTCTCAAGCTCAAGTGCTCCCAGACAATGGTATCTCATGGGGATTTTTCTTTAACTAGCAAGCAGCGTCTGGCCTATAGTAGCACTCATACCTTTTCCTCCTTAAGAACTCCCTATACTTACTCTACCTTGATGGATGTCCCCCATCCTGGCAATAAGCAGCATAGGCAGAAGTATTCTATCCCCATCACCACTGACTGTACAAAGTGGCTTGGAGGTGGGGGGGGGTGCTTCTGTTTTGTTGGCTCTTACACTTAGGGGTGTAAGAGCCAGTAAAAGGCCTTGAAGATGCCGTGGTCCAGCAGTCCCTGACTTGGGACTTGGAAATTGCCTTGGTGGGATGTAAGGGTCCTGTGGCAGTGATTGTAGATTCACATTTCTCAGTGGTCAGGATTGTCTGTCGCCCTGGATGCCACCAGTTGGTGAGTTAAGGATGCTGGTTGTATTGGCTTCTCAGTGCTTCTCTGATCACCTCTGATGTGTCCAAGCACTGTAATGTAGTCCTAATAATGCAGGTATTGCTCTTATCTTTAAAGCAGGTCATAATGATACATGCAATAACAATCCTATAAATATAAACTCCATTTTCATGAAATATGACCATTTCTTTTCATTATGGTGGCACCAGGTATTTTTGAGGACTGATGGTGGGATAGAAAGTTCCAGCTCCCTTTAACCCCCACCCCCAGGAGGCAACCTGCCACTTTGTGCCTATTTCCATCATAGCTTAGTTAGTGGTTTAGAGTGCAGGATCTGAAGTTACATATCCCCAGCTCTCCATCTTCCTCTATGAGTCTGTGAATGCCTCAGTTTCTCAGCTTTAGAAAGAGTTAAAGGAGATCTAACATATATGCCAAATAGAGTGTTTTTTAGAGCAGAGCTATTATTATTATTTCTGTACATGCATACTAGTGTTCTGAGGCTCCTTATTGTTTAGGAAAATCTTTGGTAGAAACTGAAAAGGCTGAGGCTGGCTTTTGGAGGGGTGGGTTGAGGTGGGGTGAAGCTCTTAAATTAAGAGCAGAGAGGACTGCACAGTGGGGGGACAGGGAGCCTAAAATGTCAAGGGTGCTGACAGAGAAGCATAGTTGGGGGACAGGATGATTCAGCATTTGTAGCCCTGCCATGGAACAAACTCTTCTCTTCATAGAATTTACCCTATAAGATGGTGGGGGTGGGATGCAGGGTGGATCATAAGTGAGAAAGGTTGAATGGCTTTCTATATTAATGCTAACATTGGTCCCAGAGGAATAGGGCAAAGGGGAAGTCTAATGGGAGGAGGCAGCCCCAATATACAGTCAATCAAGAGTGGAAGCTGCAGGGGACAGAAAAGGTTTGAGAAATTCTAATTCCAACATTCACTGAGCACTTGCTATGAGTCAGAACCCTGTTCCAGGTGCTTCTCATGGATCAGCTCATTTAATCTTCATAAGACCCTATGACTTACTCTATCTATTTTTCAGTGAAGAAAAAGAGACATAAAAAGGTTAAATAACTTGCCCAAGATCACATGGCTAGAAAGTGGCAGAGCCAGGTTTTGAATCCAAGAGGCCTGGCTGCAGAGCTTACATCCATAGGGAAATTCTGAGAGAGACTCCTGCAGAGCTGGGGAGTGGAGTGAGAAGGGGTGATGGGGTAGAGGGATTGAAGGGGTTTTGTACTCTGCTTGAAGGTCTGCCAAGGTCCTATTCAGACATCATTGGAATATACATGGAGGGTTCAGTCTGCTGAGAACCACTGGTCAAGAAAGTGCCAGACACTCTGTGGGTTCTGACCTTGAGTACAAAGATCACTAAGACATGGCCCCTGCCTACAAAATGCCTATAGTCTAGTAGGGGAAACACATGTTAGTCTAGAACTCCAGTTCCCATGGCAAGTGCTACAATGAGACCAAGCACCAGAGAAGAGGATACTTTGCCCATCCAGAAGAGGGCAGGGAAGGCTTCCTGCAAGAGGGGGCCCTTGAGCTGAATGAGGGTAAAGGTGGCTGCTGTCTCTGGGGGCTTTTGATCTGGCCACAGAAGACATCACTCTCCCACACTGTGAACTCTGAGTAGAACTAAGGGTCAGATTATCTGGCTCCTGCAATGCCCTTGCCAGGGTGACACAGGAACTGGGAAATGTGGTTGTCTTCCTTGATGCTTTTGTGTTTTTTAATAGTCACCTTCTGTAATGCCTGCAGTGAACTTGCTGAAGGAGAAATAAAATATCTCGTAACGCTGCTCAGAACACAGTGATTCACTCTGGTCTTTCTGTACTGAGAAGTAGAACCAGCAGCAAATGAATATAAACTATGGAGGAAGGACTCAAGAAAGGCATGAGGGAAATAGTTCAAATAGGATGTGAGCTGTAGAACCAGTAATTCATAGGAGTGCAGGGGATGGCCTCCCCAGAAGGTCTTTAGAAATGGGAACACATTTCATTTCTCTTTGTGGTTTAAGAGGTTTCTTCGGGAGACAGGAAGATGAAGTAGAGGCCCCTAGAGGTCTGTGACAGCTCCGTGATAGGAGGGTAAAAAGAGCTGGAATTTGTGAGCTAAAAGGTTGCTCAAATCTGGCCTAACCCCACATTTTACTGTTGAAGGGGCTGAAGAATGCCCCCAAACA